CACAACTTTACATCAAAACTAAAACACGCCAAAACGTAAGAGATTTACTGAACGAAACACGAAAAATATATTCACAATTCATTTGGGTTAATTCATTGATAAAGTTAAGAAACGGTAATTATTTGAATTTAAAAAGCGTTCTTTCTACGCTGAAATTCTCGGTTTACGACCCCGCTTCTTTGCGTCTGGACCTCTTCTAAATGCAACCAATGCTTGAAACCTAAGCACGTATACGGCTTCTATAGCTTTTATTTATTGATTGATTAATTTTTTACTGCAATATTTCGAAAACAGGCGCGCTCACTTCTCCGAAAGAGTTCCCTTCTTGGAAAAACTCCCCTTAGTTTTTGCTATTAGTCAACCCTTACACAAATTTTATGTCTAATTTTCTTGTAAAAAATAATTAAAATAGAGTTGATTTTACAGAAATTTCGGCTACCACTAGACAATCATGTAGTTGCCTAATGATACATCTGCCTTCAGCAATCGCACCTAGCAGATTGGTCATTATTTTAGGAAAGTTTGAATTTTTCGATTTCCCCCTCCCCTAATTATATTTAAAATGTAGAACAGAAAGGGAACCAAATTCTCAGTGATTAAATATAAATATTTTGAAGCTAAAACTTGATACTGCGGGTTAATATAATCACTCTGAAAGCGAATTTTTTTTTCATTCGGTTGAAGACTTCACACTGCCAAAAGAACTACCCCATCCAAGTATGTACTAACATGCGTGTGCGCGTGCGAGAGAAAGAGAGGGGGAGGGATTGGAGAGTGGTGTGAAGGGAAGGAGTGGGGGATAGATGGTATGGAATATGGTTGACGGTGCGCAGGTGAGCGAGTACGTATGAGTAAACGGAAGAGAGGGGAGGGAAGAGTGTGGTGTGAAGAGAAGGGAGAGAGAATGGGATTGAATGTGGTTGGCGGTGCGGTGGTAAGTGAGAGGATGAGAGGCGGAAGGAGAGTGGCGTGAAGGGAAGAGCGAGAATGAGGTGGAGTGAGGCGTGCGGCGCGGGGGTGAGCGCGTGCGAGTGCGTGAGCAGGTGTTTGGCGGGGGTGGGGGCCGCGGCGGCGCGTGAGCACCTGTTCCCAGAGCGACGGCCGTTGCGGGCGGCGCGTCTCTCCGAGTCCTCTGACCGGGACACGCCCGACTGCATCCCGCGGCAACTTTCCTCTCACCCATGCTTCCCAGCTAATCCCCGTTCACTTTTCGTTATCTGAGAAGGCATAGCCCGACTACACCCCGTTTCGTTCATTTGGTATTTCTGAAGGAGTACATTTCTTTTGTCAAGTTTCCAGTTATTAGAAGCGCAAATAATTGCACTCGCACAAGTCCAGAGAAAATCTCTAACACAGGTGAACATAATAATATCTTCGAATACGTGTATGTTAAGCCAGCGGGGTAAGAAGAGCGTCGTAAGAGGTGGTTACAAGCTTTGTTTCCGCAAACTTTTGAGTGTGGTTTTCAGTTCTGGCGGTACTCTAAAAGGGCGTGCAAATGTTTCTTGAAAACAGAAGTTGATCAATTATAATCAATCAATATAAAATACAGCAAACCGCGGTAATGTAAAAATCAATCCTTACACTGATGAGGAAAACTAGAAAGGATATAGTCAAGCTGTGCCTTTTGGGGAAGTAGGTAAACGGCTTGCGAAAGTTGACTGTGGGATGCAGTCAGTTTACGCCCCTCTAACTGCCTACAAGCACAGGCCTCCCCGGAAGTCGACCACCACATGCGCTGGCTTACTGAGAGTAGCTGGCACCAGCAGAGAAAGAAATGTCATGATAATCTGAAGTGGCAGACACTGCTGGAGTCATTTTCGTGAAAACGTCATTTTTGTCAGGTTCGCCAAACGTCGCGTTGTCTGAGTTGTTTGAGATCGCCTTCGATGCGTAGCGTCAGTGGTTTAATGTGTGTGTATTTGAAGAAAGGACTCAGTGTTTTTCTGTTTGCACCTCACCCGCTCACTCGTCTTAGGAATTTTGTGCTCTACGCATTCCTGCCTCATTCTTGTAATACTGGTGGAACTTTGCCGTCATTTTAAGGAAAGCGGGAATTCTTGAAATATACTATTTTTTGAGTGTTTGAAACCACAATTGGACGTATAGAATAAGATGTAACATATACACTCCTCAAAACAAACCTTGGTTCTATCTCGGAACGGATAATTTGTCTTTGACATATGATCATGTTTCTACACATGTGTCATAACTAGAAAGTCGAAAATTGTGGGTTCACTTAGCGAGTACGCAGATCGTAATGTCCAGTTCAAACATGACAATCTCTCCTCCTCCCTCTTCAAAATGAGACCAAGACAGTGGCGCTATGCCTTATATTTAGCCTACTACGTAATTCGAGTTTAAAAATAATTCAACCGAAACTGTCACACATTGGGGGCGATTGTCTCCCACATTCAGCATCGATTTTAATGACGTTCTCACGTCCAAAACTGTGGGTAGACATCGTCTTCGTCACCGCCGTAAGTTATTTCCGTGATTTACTTTAAGCACAGCGTTTTCTTCCGTGAAGGTCCAACGCAAATTTTAAGTTCATGTGACCGAACGCGTGCTTCACTTTAGTATCTGACTCGATGGAGCTAAAGATCTGATTGGGCTCTGCCCTGACATCCATATACTGGCAGGCCGCCGGAGTCGTTCGTATTGTGCTTCAGGATACCTTTCACGGTTTAGGTCATTGTGGTACATGGGTTGGGTTATAAAGAACAGGTGGAAGATGTGATAACGAGGTGATTGATAATGGAGATACGATGTGATGCGAGGGAGGGAAAACGCGAGAAACCGCGAGAAAGCTGCCGACAACTCGCTGTGTCCATCACAAATTCCAAGTGAATTGGCTGTGGTTCCAACCCCATGCCCCTGTGATGAACGCGTATGAGCTAGCCCCCCGCCCCTGAATCATCTGAGATCAGGAGGATAAGCCATATGGTGATAGGAGATCAGCTCATGATCCGACCCTCAGAGGATGATTTCCTACAACTGCTACGGAATGTGTTACAATTTTATTTTGTAAGAAGAATGCAGCGAACAGTTCAACTTTGTCGAAGATGGATCTCTATAAACACCTCTTTTGTTAAGGAAACCCAGAACTGAACAGATTTTGTTGTCCACCCCCTGATAGGATGAACACTTCCAAAATAATTTGAAAAGATCCTTTTCAAAAAGAAAATTACCACACTAAAGCATGTATTGCAAGACTAGCGTGATCGTGAATATTAACATCTGTGAAATGCAGCATTCAACTTCATCGTTTCGACACACAAAAATCACTTTTGAAAACCTCAGAAGGCAAAAACTGATGTTTCTAAAAGGATTTATTAATAAAATTTGTTTCTCATTCCACGGAACAAATAGATAATTTACAGAGAAGTTAATGAAATATGTACAATTAGGAGGGTCGAACAGGTGGGTACAAAAAAAGGTCGTTTTCACGACGGCACTAAAAAAATCAACTATTATTTTCCTCTTCGACTCTTGTGCTTTGTTGAATTGTTTTAGAGATTACTTCTATACAGAAATTAGTTATAGTTACGTACATATTTGATAGAGTAAGATAAAAAAGAGAATGTTAATACTGTCAACGTTTTACTATTTACATACTAATTTGAAATCTTACTATTCACAGATCAAAAGTTTTCTCCGCCCATATGGTCGATTCTTCTCTCTTTTTCTTTCATTGAGGTTATCTATTCCGTGTCGCTCTGGAGGTCAGGTTCAGCAAAATAATGATAAAATGAAGTAGTTCACAACGAAATATTACACACAAAAATCACAAGATGCTTATTTAATACTAGAACAAACAAAAACGATTGGCGCTGTTAATTTCTGGTGTTCTGGACTACCCTTAAATTCAAAAGGGCTTCATCGATCGATGCCATTTCGTAATCACACTCCCTGAGTAATGCAACATCTGCAACCAAACTATCCGCTCATCTTCAACAAAGTTTAATAGATTCAAGTATCAGATACGACGGGTAGACACCGCTTACTAACTTTTCGTGCCAAACGTAAAAAAAAGGCTAGTACTGACAAAAATACATCAAAACAAAAGGCGGAAGTTTTGGTTCGAAAACAGCGTATGAAGGACTGCTTGCGGCAGGATTCGGCAAGAACAAGCCCAGGGAAGTCCACATACTTCACCGCGGGTATACGGGGCGTGGCACATGCAAGAAAAGTTCAGAACGTAAACAGAGAACCGTAAATATCGAATCTGCAAATTTTACCACATACACGTCTTCTAAACATAGTCGTATCTGTCACTACAAGAGTATTCGAAAACGTCCATGCGCAAAGTCCCACTTAACGCTAATGAGTGGTTAAGGCGAATGAACACGCCTGGTCCCCGTTTGTCAAACACGCGTACGTACCCTTCCCTCTTCCTGGCAAACACGTGCCGCCGGCCGTGGAGGCCGAAGGCACGGGATCAATTCCAGTTTCCTCATTACAACCTCCCGCCTCGTGCGAGTTTCAAAACTGCACGCCTGCTGCTGTTTCGCCAACAGCAATTGCGGATATACCATGCAACGCACAATAACACTTGAAATACTTCAACATCAATAGAAGTGTCAGTTCTTTTCCTCGTAGTTGAAAAAACAAATTTAAAAGACAAATCTCTCAATGACATTTCGCCAACTGGCGCGCTTCGTGAATTCAAATAGTATATCTTAAAATAGTTTTTTGTAATGTAATGAATACGATTAGATAAGCGAGACAACTATACACACTGTTTAAACATCTGACAACATAATATAACACGTCACACAAAAAATGTTTTCTGAGATTCATTTTCATTATTTCTAGTAATTTGAATTTTTAACGGCTAACATGCCCACGCTTAGCACACACGAAACGAAATATCTAAATTAACAAACGAATTTTAGAACACGTAACACATTAATTTATTAGTTCTGTCACTCGGTAAACAAACGCCCTGCGGTCTGCATCAAAAGGTGAATGCCTACCGTCCGGGAGTTCTCACTCACCTGCAATGACGGTGTCGCTGAGATCATATTTGCCTCTGGAATTCGGGAAATCCTTCAGCTTTCTCCCTGTCAACTTCAATTCTCCACTTAAGTGAGCTTCTTCCAATATTCGTTCTAAAGATCGCGTAAGTTGACTCGGAAGGTGGCCACTCATACTGGACGCGATAATGGCCATCATACGTTTCTCATCGCACTGCCCGAGACAGACGCTCAGGATCAAAGAGTATAGAGAGCTCTGGTGTGTGGGCATTGACGTCAGGCGCTGTCCGTGTACCGGCCAATGCCGGAACTAAAATGCTAGGCTGCTATTCGTAAACATTTGCACGTGGAGTTGCGCCGATGATATACACCTGGCATATGACGCGAATTCAACACCGAAAAATTCGAGACGTCAATTTTTCGAAGTTATATGATAACGAATATAAAAAACATTCCTGAAAAAACAGCTGGTGTCCACAGTTTGTTTTACGAGTTTTCCTAGTTAAGAAAAAAAAAAAACTTGGCATGAAATGGCATTTTAGGTTCTTGACCCAAATATTTTTTCCCATTATTTTTAATATAGAGGTAAATATTATTCTATAAATAGCATATTAAATATATAAAACTCAAAAAAAAAAATCAACAATAAGACATTAAAAGAGTTAAAAAATAGGAAAAATGAAAATTTAGTATTTTTGAAATTAAAGAAGTTCAATAGTTATGGTTTTTCTTCATGTCATGACAATATATAGAGGCCCTTGTGATATTAATCTAGTACGTATGACAAGAGCACATGAGAAGAATGGTACCAAATTAATACGCATGGACCCAGGAATTTTAACATTTATGTAAGGAGATGGAACTGAGAGATGAGAAAACAAACAGGAACAAACCACAGGTTCATAACCTAAATGATTGAAAACCAGGATGCTAATTTATCTTGAAATTATTCTACCCAAGATTTGAGTTAGATAAGAATTAATAATATAACACATCTTTCTCCTTCGCTGAATTAAAATTATCATTCCCTCAATGATATCCAACATCAAATTAATATCATTTGTGTAGCAAGTGGGATGAATCTCACAATAGTGAATCAATTCCTTCATATGGGGCACGAGAGAGAAAGGTTGAGAGAAAAAATCTTTCATGCATTGGCCAATGCCAATAGTTTCTATTGCACACGAGTAAATAGTATATTGTCATAAATTTGTATTCGAAAATGTTTATTGATGTTTTTATCAATACTTTAATAGAGTATATTAAAAGAGCAGTGGTAGGGATACTAGAGTCCAAGAAAACAGGTACAGATTGTTCATTTCTACCATTTGTTACATAAAGCTTTTTAACTCCACTTTGATGGTAAATGAATAAAAATAAAATACTTCAATTTAAACAGAAAGAAAACAAATATGAAAATCTATTTATTCTAAGTATAGTACCACTTTTGGGTTATTTACATCATTCAGAGCATTCATTATTCATTCATATCTAGCACATAAAATTCACTTAAATAATGCACAAAATAAGTCATGATCACAAATCATGCTGAATTCTTACAATAAAACATGATACAATATCATATAAAATTAATTAACAATGCCTAGTTTTTCTTCTTTTTTTGTTGAGGAACTATTCCTTGATTTTCTTGATACCTTAGAATAAGTTCCTCTTGAACTTTTGGAATGGTAGGAGAGTAACGACTGTACTCCATTGAAAATTCTCCTTTACCCTGCGTAGAAGAGCGCAGCTCTCCAGCATACCCAAACATTTCATTCAAAGGCACCTGCAAATTGCAAAATATAAAAGATTATTAATCAGATTCTCATAAATCTCATTCCAATGTTACTACAATATATTTATTGTGGGTACAGACAGAGAGAATTGATTAAAATGAGTTTCTGAGTTCTTGCTATATGGTCATTAATAATGGAATTTGTTTTCTATTATTTGCAAATTTTTGTTAATTGAATACCAATAAGTAAGTATAGAATGGCATCTGAGAACCTGGTCTCGGTAAATAGTGAAGGCAACAAGTGTTTTATTGACAAACTATTTCCTACTTTTTAACGCATCTCCTACCCGATCATTCAGGAGATGCTGCTGATGGAAGAAATAAGCAAAAATAGGAAGTTAAGAAAAAGGAATTCTTCTAAAGTTCTTTTATCATTTGTAATGTAATGTCAAAATGCCAAAGTAGGTAAAATTCAGAAAAAGTAGTTATTAACGAAATGTGTCATCGGAGCATTACAACGAAAACCACATGAGAATAAACACTATACAAGAATCTTTTGCATCATGAAGAGGTAGCCAACCTTTAGATTGAGTTAAAGATAAATAATTAAAATTATTTATCTTTAGCTTTAGAGATTAACATTAATGAATTAAAGATTAAAATAAATAACATGAATGAAGACACATTGCCCTGCACATCAATGATTGTACAATAAAACCAGTTTGTAAATATCATTTTGAAAAATACATTTTCAAGTGTCCAAAATAGACAGAGAATTTATTTGTTAAATATACCGGAGGTGACAGGAAGTATCAGAGCTTTGGTACAAGAAAAATCTAGATTCTAAAGAACAAGTACTTAGTACATGCAAAACATTGATACGTCATCTTTATGTACAATTATTTTTTATAGTAGCATAGCATGAAATAAATGTTATTAAAATCTACTAATAATATACAGCATATCTAAAATGAACCTGATTTTTCAGACAAATTAATTAAGCAATTAGAACTTTTTCTGCCACCAAGAAGTTTTTCTTTAAATTTCAAATATAGAGAAAAGAGACTACATTAAGAAACCTTTCCTCTTAAGGTGACTCCATACATTCAGTATTTGGCAAGCAGTCATCAGAAGTGTATTGAACCATGATAGGTATGGATGGGTTGCTTGCTACTAGCAGAGCAACAAACAATCGGTACTCTACCCACTGTGTGGCAGTCTTTTGGACCCATTATCACTGGCCGAACAGGAGTATTCTACACTGTGAATACCGAATGTGTTGCTGTCTTCATATTAAGAACTGGTTACATTCAAAATACTCAAATATAGAGTTACCTCAGCATAAACGGTGAACCAGCCATCATTGGCATCTTGTCCTGTGATCAATCCATGCCTCTTAGTCAACTGGCCCATCACTATACCTTGAAACTCATCTGGGCCAGTGACTTCCACAAACATAACTGGCTCCAGGATTTGCCAAGATCCTCTCTCAAATACTAAATTAAAAAAGCAAAAACATTTTATTGATTAGTGATTTCGGGCATGTCAACTGCAAATGTCATTATTACTGTAAGAGTAGTGCAGGTTTTTAATCAGAGGCAGTGGAGGTGATCTTTCCCCAGAGGTCGGCAACATACGTTGGCTTGCATGGATTTCTCCAACCAGGTGTCTCCCTTCAGCGTAGCACCATGCCAACTGGACAAGCACTAAGCTCCTGACGGGTCTCCCAACATGTGAGAGTGTGTAGGGCATGTAAGTGTATGTGTGTAAGAGGTGAGGATATGACAAGGAAGAAAAAGGAAAGACTGTGTGCGGTCCGTGGCCCACTAGGTTACTGCTCTGGCATTTGCTTCGTGTGGACAGGAGAAACAATGGAAAACTACTGATAAAGCAGGTGGCTACAAAAATTCTCCTCCAGACAGCAGCTGAACTCAACCCAGCTATCTAGCTTTGTTGAAAATCCTGCCACCATCATGATTTGAATCCTAGTCAGAGGCACCACAATGACTTCGGTAAATACCCTGAGCCACCTTTGCCAGTCAAAAACACTTCACATAAATAATTAATTCAACACAAAGGAAATTATGCATGTATTGTGCATTATTCCATACTATGTACTGTACAGTTCTAAAGCAGCACACTTTTCTCTCTCTCTCTCTCTTCTTTTTTTTACTTTGTAACTGTTCAAAATAAGTTAAGTTCAACTTACTATCTTATGCAACATGTAAAGTTTACACTTTTTAAATGATATAATGTTAAAAATAAAATTCAAAATTTAGCTCAACTGCTCTCATTCAATTCAGGGGATTCTGTTTCTCACATTGATGCTCTTTCAGAAGAATTATATACTTCATTGACTCTCTTACTATTTTTCTCAATAATACACAAACAGTATACACAATCACAACACAAAGAAAAACACCTAAATGAGAAAGATAATTCCATACCAATTTTTTGTAAACATCACAATTCCCAATAATCAGAAATATAACTGCCTTTGAGAAGCAAAATTTTTGAACTTCATTGTTAGACTTGGTATACAAAATGTTGAGCTTTAAATGTTTAAGTTTCTGAAATGTACATTGTGGAGAATACTTGAACGTCAGAGTAACATTTTGATCACAAACTTATAATTTCTTGAGATTTCTAAAAGTCTTAACAATGAACACAAGTGAATTTGTAATTTAATATTGTGTAAAAAACATTTATCCAGAAAACAATAATGAACTTCATTAATATTTTGTGACATCAATGAGATTTTGATTAGTTGAACAGTTGCCAGTTCATGTTAGATTACTGACCCCATTGTCCCCTTAATCAATGAAATTTTAGAAATTTGAACCCTAATGGGTCAATACTGGCCCTGTTGGGGAAACCAGATGAACAATAAATGCTTGTTGGTGCTTTGAATTAATATGATATAAATTATATATGCTTGAGACATGCTTCATCTAAATTTACTTGAGACACTAACCTTCTTTCACAGCTCCATGTGCAGCCAACATGAATGCCAGTTCACTGGAATCCACAATGTGATGAGCACCATCTTGCAAGCGAAACTTGACTCCAGATAACTTGTGACCAGATAATAAACCTATAAAGAAATATATTGTGTGCAAATTTGAATACAAATGTTTAATTTTCTACTTAAATATGTATATTGACTACTGAAACTCAAGTACTTTTTTGCAGTTGTTAGAACTAGACTATTATTTTAATGAAGTCACTAGACTAGACAATTAGTTTAATTAAGTCACTTGAAAATGTCAGACACGAATTACTAAATCCTTAGAGTTGAAATTAACTGGTAATTAACCTTATTGAAATAATAATGAATACTTCGGCAGTCTTGATAGCAGAAGAAAATTGCAACAGGTTTTTTTTAATTACTCAAGGAAGTGATCATGCACCCTAATTCTGGTTTCAAGTTTCATTTTGGATTCTGCAATATCATACTCTTTCCTTCATGGTTTGCATAATCCTGTATTTCACTACATGTAGTGCACAAATCAAGTTTATTTGAATTTATGGAGTTAACTAATTTTTGCGGTCATTGAGATTCAAATCGAGATGTACTTCATAAACTCTCTTGTTTGGCATATTAAAAATTATGTTAACTCTCTTTTTTTATAAACTTGGAATTCAGATAGGGGTAAATTGCTGGACTTTGTTATGTAAAAATATATAAATTTAAAAAAATAAATATATAATCAAATTAACTAATCAAATAGATTCACATACACATCACATAAGTTTGTAACATAAATTCCAAGAAAAGACTGTTAAAAATGAACAAAAATATAGATGCCACTAGTCAGAAACATGAATTCAAAATAATATAACCTATTTGAAGGTAGTGAAATGTACAACTATCTAACTTTGATATTTTGCTAGTTCAAAAGAAAAGAATTGTCCCTTCTTCACAATACTCCCTAAATATTTAAAAAATTGTTTAGCAATGGTTTTATAGACACCTTTTCATGAGAGTGCAACAAAGCCACACAAACTATTCAACTGCACTTGTTTAAGAGGAGCGTCATTATATTGATGAGCAAACTTATTAGACCTTTAACTCTAAATGTTTGTTATGGTGCAATTCAATCCTGGTCAAGGTACACTGATTTTTCATCATCTTTCTTTATGGATTAGGCATATTGCCTGTTCCAGTCTCTTTCCATCTCATCCTTGGTCTTCCAATGTTTCTCTTTCCTCTCAGCATATAGTTCAGGGTTTGCTCAGGAAGTCTGTCTTGTAGCATATTTCCAATATAAATCACCCATTGCTGTCTGTACTTCTGAATTTGTCACACACAGTTTCTTTCCACCTAGTTTCTTTTATTTTTTCACTTTTTATTTGGTCTCTTAAAGTATAGCCCTTTACTCCAGTCAAAAAACTCATTTCTACTGATCCAATCCTCCTAAAATCTTTGAACCTGAGTTTCACATCCATACAGAAATTGTGAGGGCTATAATACTACAAAATTTTAACCGAGATCCTTTTTATGCTATCTTTTTAAACATTCTACTAATAATTCCACATACTGCTTGAAATTTATAGATCTTGCAGGTGACCTTCTCTATCTCTTTTGTATGTAATTTCACACCCTAGTTAGTTAAAATGTGACCCTTGTTCTATAACCATATTTTGAAGCCCAATCATCTTTACCGATTCTTTTCCTTTAAAAGATATTTCTTTGATTTTATTATCTGGAACAGATGGTGCTCCATAAAAATTTGCTCCAGTTGTTAAATAGATCTTTGCAAATCATCTTCCTTTTTCTGCAGGATCACCAGGTCATTAGCGTATAAAAGAAAACTTAAAAATGTATTTTTCCTCAGGTGAATTCCTGAGGGCACCACCTTTTAATTATATATCCCAGATATATATTAAAGAGTATTGGCAAGACTGTCTCCCTGCCTTACTCCTTTATTTATAATCCTCTTCCCGGGACAAACAAATCCATTGAATTTTTCTGTGATATCAGTACTATCACTATCTATATCATACTATCAGCAATATCACACTTACTTTTCACCACTTACAATAGATGACTTGGGTATTCCCATTTCTTTCTTTCTTTGTTTTTGATGCATCTTTGTAATGACGCTACACATCTTGTAATCCTTATAGGCCATTGAGTGCTTTTGGTAATTTGGCTATAATAATCCTCCATTATTTTTTATACTGTCATTATCATTAGGAGTAATCCTCCATTACTTTTTATATAGTTCGCAAGTTGTCAAGAGGATCACCATGTAGCATCTCCGCATCTCTCTCTTGTGCACTATTGTATCACTATCCAGCGGTCAGAATTAGGATAGAGGTAGGCTTAGAACACTTCACAAGGGTAGGACTAGCCTTGTGAAGCAGCTAAACTTGTTTTGTTGAAACAAATTTCACATGAGATTGTCTGGGAATCGAATCCAGACCTCCTTGGTGAAAGGTGGGCAACTTTGCTCTTAGCTGTGAGATAGTCATTCTTCTTTAATAATGCTCCATAATTTACATTGTTTGACATTATCAAATGCCTTCTCAATATCCATGAAGGCTAATGCTAAATGTTTCTCTATTAAACTCCACTCATTTCTCAAAAATTTGCTTTAATGTTGACTTTTCAAAGGATGGAAAATCTACAACAGCCACCCACGTTGTACACGAATCTAGTCTAAAAGCCCAGTAAAATTAAATACTATTTAACAAACATCCCATTTCTTTAACCAAGGAGCAATGCAAGTAACACAAAAAATTAACAGACTGCTGCTGTGGCTCTTCCTGGAGGGGAGTAAAGGAGTAAAAATTAGTTGGAAGCATTGAGAATTCATATGTGAGAATTAAGAATTTCCAATAAAGCAGCCTGTGTTGCAGAAAGTTCATATACTTAGCATTTAGAAACAACATTTAAGAATTTACAATGAAAAATATCACACCATTTATTACCATTTCTTAATCTATAGTAACATAAGTAAAAAAAGTAAGAATATTTTAATATTTATTTTAATTCATTAAATAAATTAATAAATAAACACAAAATAATAGAAAATGTTCTAAATCTTGGAATTACCTTTTTCACACATTTGAAGAAAGCCTTTCTCTACTCCAGGAATAAACTGCTTTGGTACATTAGGTCCAGAGGTTTCATCAGCAAATTCAATCAAGGTGTTTTTATGAGGAGGCAGTGGCTGCAGAACAAAACAAACTGGTAACTAAGTTTGATAATTTCCAATAAATTTGCTCCTAAATGCTGCATTTAGAAAAATGAAGTGCACTACTACAAACTTTCTATCTAGAGGCACAGTCCGTTATCAACCTCCCTTAATCAATCTTTCTCAATAATTGATCATTAATATTATTTACTATTGGATGTTGGCCACTTCCCTACCAGCATATGTCAGTTACAAGGACATCATTGGATGTACATTTCTATGGGATCCCGGTCTTGACTGTAGAAGATGGAAGAAAGGGAAGAGAATGGGAAGGTACAATTGTGCAGACATCATGGATAAAATACTACACCAGAGTTCAGCTGAAATGAATTTGGGAATCATGCAAACCAACAATGAAAACAGTGAACCTATGGTTTTGATTCTATCAATTACATGTGACAGTAGCCACCACTAACTACAGACATTTAACAAAGGAAGCAAATTTGTGCAATAATAATAATAATAATAATAATAATAATAATAATAATAATAATAAAGAGAAGTCCTTAAAAAATAATGCAAACCATTCGCAATTAAAAAAGTAGATTTTTTACCTCCATTATTCCAACCACTCGAGCAAATTGACCAGCTCCTCCAGACTGTTTCTTGTGAAGATAGTCAAATTCACAAGGTCCAGTAAGAGTTTCCCTGAAGGATACTTTTGGCTTGCCCATTGTGACAGGGCAGTTGTATTCTCTCTCCATTCGCTAAACAAAAAGTTTTCATTAAGATCTAAAGAAACTTCAAATATTTTGTGGATTACTGACTAAATGTGTAAAAAATAATTCTGAAAACATTTAATTTTTCTTAAAGAGGTTATGAACCACTATCATTTTTTATGATAAAATATCAAAAATCACATTGGGAACTGTAGATCATGAAATTTGATTGGAGTAAAATTTTCATTTCCACTTCATGGTCATGAATCTACAATAAAGTCATTGGCTTCCATGGCCAGAGTCATGTGCGTGATCTGGGCTGTCCGGGTGATGCCGCGACGAAGGCTGTGTTGCCGACGTTTCAACCATCCTGTCGTGGTCTTCCTCAGGGCTGGTATGCCCTGAGGAAGACCACGACAGGATGGTTGAAATGTCGGCAACACAGCCTTCGACGCGGCGTCACACGGACAGCCCAGATCACGCACATAAATCTACAATTGCTAAAAATCAAATTAACATATTTCAATGTTTAAAGAAAAGAAACACTAATCTCGGCCTGAAATGGGCAAGGGATCCTGCAGTAATTGAAATGAACAAAAACAAACATTATTTGGAAATCACACAAAAATTGAGATGTATCCTCCACACAATGCATTATGTCCAAAATATTAAATATTGAGCCAGTTTCAAATATTATTATTTGGTTTTCCATTGACGTTAATAATAATAATAGTAGTAATAATAATAATAATGACAAAAAAATATGAAATGAATTCATAAACTATTAATTTATATGTTACATTCATGAAAAAATGTAACAAATAATACATTCGAGTTTAGAATAGAACTTTGATAATTTTTTTTCTCATAAAAATCTGTTCCTCCTCCTATGGTGGCTCATGAACAAATGTTCATAGCAAAGTAGATTACAGATCAGTAATGGCTTCAAGGGGGAGCAGCGCACTAGTCATGCCTCCCTCTTGTGGTCCTTTCATGACAATTTTGCTCAATTTATTCAAAAGGATTATCACATGGTGATCACATCATTTTCTAAAGGTGTATTCTCACTAAGACTGTAAAAATGTCATTTCAAGAAGAAATTTATAGAGGAAAAATGTAATTGGCTCCCCTTCGAATACTTTCTGGATCTGTCCCTATTACAGAATTATTTCATTCACACTGTTTTGATAGCACAATATTCAACATTACTCAACATCGAATTAGGTCATCAACTGTCCAAATTTAAATCTAAAAAGAACAATACATCTACGCACTACAAAATCAAGTAATAAAGAGTTGTATGTAAATGTTAATAACTTTCTTCACTTGCTAACTTCTCAATTAAATAAGCACCTCATTGCTAATATAACTGAAGTTGAAGTCTTCCACAAGAGACAGCAATATTATAAAATGCCTGCCTAAAAAACTTATACTGCTCTTCTGCACACTCTTTCGGGGTCTTGTGAAGCGAGGCAACCTTGGAATATGCCCACCCTGACCTCCTAGGGCAGCATGAAACAATAACAACAGAATGTATAAAATTGATTGTGAGAGCTTATATTATGTAGTGCTTGAACTGAGAATATAGCTAGAATTGTGATAATGAAATGTTCATTTTATAATGTCTGCCGAAAATACAAAAACAATTAGTCTTAAATTTTATTATGTGTCATGTATTAAAACAGTACTACTCATCAGTCTGCCTTGGCTACCCCAAAAAGCTGCCACTGTGTTCCTCACATGTAACCAAAGAACAATGCTCCCTCTTTGATTTTACTAACCTGGGCATAAATTTCTAAATGAAGCTCACCCATGCCAGATACAAGCGTTTCTTTGTTGTCAGGATCATAGTTAAAGCGGAAAGTAGGATCTTCTTTTGTGAATCTAGCAACAGCTTTGCTAAAGTTGTCTCTGTCTTTGGAATTATTTGGTTTAATTGACATTGATACTACAGGATCAGGAACAAAGATTGACTCCTGTAACAGTAATTGTAATGAATCAGGTTTCAAGAATTACAGGAATGTAAAAATATTTATGTCACAAAACTCACAATACCATGGATAACTGCAATTTAGGATCAGTGACGAATGTGTCTCCGCTAGCACAATCCACACCAAACAAAGCAAAAATGTCACCAGCATACACTTCATTAACATCTTCCAATTCATTAGCATGAAGACGTACCAAACGAGACAGCCTAATCTACAACAATCATTAATAAATACATTAACTTACTAGTAGATGTGACAAAATGTTTGTGCACAATTTATGTTCCATTCAGTAATTTAGAAATGAACTCTAACTACAAAAACAATACTCCAATATAACAAAACCATTTTCACAATACAGGATGCAGACAAGTATTCCAAGTCAATAAAAAATAATGAAAATAAGTGAGTAATGGCAGTGTATGAACAAATATTGTTCTCTCATGCACAAAACAGATCATTATATTCAAATTTCATGATCTGATCTGAGGAGTTTGGGACACTATTGTATTTCACCTGCCATGGTCTGGTAATGTAACAAAAAAGAAACGCACTTTTTTAAAACAAAGTTATAAATTGATGCCCCTATATTACATTATTTAAGGGAGGGATTCCTTCCCCTCTTGTGAAAAGTTTGTTGAAATATAATTTGCATCCAAAGAAATACACAAAAATGTTTTTGTTAGCACAGTAGTTAGTAAATAATATTAACAGCATTTTTCTATAAGCAATATTTACTTTTAAACTTGTACTCTTGTGGAATAATCAATGATGATTCATTCTGCTTTCACAGTCATTAATATTAAACTGAGAGTTTACACAATACTTAATAAAAAGTCTTTTCAAATCTATGAAAATGAAAATACCTTCTTTCTTGTTCTAACGTTGAAAATATGATCGCCCTTTTTAAGCATTCCTTGATATGATCTTAGATATGTCAGCTGTCCAAATCTACCAGCTTCCAATTTAAAAGCTAAACCAACAAAGGGGTTTGCATCACTTCTAGCAGGATCCAACAAAATTTTCTCAGGTTCCTCCCTAGAGAAGAAAACTATATATTACACATAAAGCCCAATATTTTTTATTTTCTCATGTATGCTAGACAGATGTCCAGAGGGTGGAGCAGCTGGGGCTACTTGCCCCAGGCCCCCACTTAAGTGGGCCTCCAAAACTTATACAAAATATATTTCCTTTGATACATTTTGGGGAGGAGGAGAGGGGGGGGATTAGTTGTAGTTGAAATATGATTCAGTGTAAAATATATCAATAATAAATAATGACAAACAACTACAATAATAAATAAGGGGAAACTTTTGCTTGAAATAAGGGGCCTCCACAAATGCCGAATATGTGGAGCTGCCTTTAGAATGTGATTGAATTTGAAGTACAAAAGTCATTTTCTTTTATTAATATTTAAGATGAGTATTTAATAAAATAGTGAGCATATTGCATACCCTGAGGTTTCTCGTAAAGCATAATTCTTGACTTCTCCTGGATGTGGCAGATATCTAAGTACAGCATCAAGTAATGGCTGAACTCCTTTGTTTTTCAAAGCAGTTCCTACTAAAACTGGTGTGAAAGCACGCTTTAAACATGACCTGCGAATCGCATTTTTAATGTCCTCTTCGGATGGAGTTTTTTCCTCTGCAAAATAAATATAAATTATAAAATATTGTTTATGTGAATTAACAGTACAGCAAAATACTGAGCTAATAACAGTTACCTAAAATGAGCTAATAACAGTTACCTAAAAACATTTCTCCCAAAATATCATCAACATTACTAACATGCTCTATCAATTCTTGACGTTTATCTTCACATAATGACCTCATATCTGATGGTATCTCATCTTCTCTCACAATATTTCTATAATCAAAAAGATAATGACAATTACCAAAGACAATTAAAGAGAATACATAAAAGGCATCGCAAAATAATGTATTGCAGTCATACCCATTGTCACCTTCAAAGTATAGTGCTTTTCTGTGGATGAGATCGACCACACCTTTTGAATCATTCTCAAGACCAATTGGGAGTTGTATGAAAGCAAAATTATGATGTAATTTTGATCTGAAACAAAACAACAAATTAAACACAGAATTAACAACCACTTAACATAACATAAAACATATTCAGTAAAATCTAATTTATTCAGACTCTGACATGAAATTGAAAGAAATTGACAAGACATAGAAATTTAAATAATATACAGAGTGCATTGAGAAAGAAAAGAGGAGGTGGGGGGGATTTGGTTTTCTTCATGATCCTCAGTAATTAGTACACAGATGCCATTACCTAGACAACTAGGGTAGTATTCAATGATTCAATTTAAATTATCAAATCATTAGAAATTAACTACTGACAAATTACTGAAATTCACACAAACAAATCACACTGTGTAAGAAAAATGAATAAAGAGGAAAGCAAACCTCAACTGAAAAAGCACACGTTCTGGATTAGCACCCATTCTGTCAAGTTTATTTATGAATGCTAGAAAAGGTACATTGTATCTTTTCATCTGTCTGTTGACTGTAAGAGTTTGACTTTGTACCCCACCAACAGCACACAGCACCAATATAGCACCATCTAATACTCGCAGAGCTCTTTCGACTTCCACAGTAAAATCCACATGGCCTACAAAGAAACAGAAAAGTACAATAACATTATCAAGTCTAAAAAATTTTAATTATTAATTTATTATGAACAAATAAATTAAAATATTTACTTAAGAAAATTAATAATAAAATTTAAGACTTTATCTAAAGTTTAAAAAAGTGATTATCTACAGATTAATGAATCGTTGAAGACGGGAGAAAAAAGGTTAATACAGAAAACGTAGTGGGCAATTACACATCTACACAAAATAAGAGTAAAATAATTTAATCAATAAAATACCTGGTGTGTCAATAATATTAATATTATGATCTTTCCAAAGAGTGTATGTTGCTGCAGACTGAATTGTGATGCCTCGCTGGCGTTCTAGCTCCATAGAATCCATTGTAGCTCCCACATTGTCTTTTCCTTTCACCTACACAGACATTTACTTCTACAATATATAACAAAATATTCAAGCCAATTAGAGAACATAATAAAACTTACTTCATGCATTTCTTCAATTCGTCCCGTGTAATACAATATTCTTTCAGTTAATGTAGTCTTCCCAGAATCAATATGAGCAGATATTCCTATATTCCGTATATGTTCTAAATTTTTATGTTCTGCATACTTTGCGTATGATGACATACATAAAATTCGAGCCTAGAAGTAAAATTTGTCCGACAGATTACCACTAAACTATTTAATTCTTTTAATACATAACTTTACTCTAAAAACACGCCAGTGAACTACTTACCTCCAAAGTTTTCGAGCGGAGATGAGGAAGAAGGTAACGCGGAATATTTTTCCGCAATAAAGTAAATACTGTCATGTTAAATACCTAAAAATATAACTAGAAATTAAGAATAACTGGAATATGCACCTTAACCTTAGTTTTGCCCACCGCCTGCTCTGGCCTGCACCCAGTCTGTACCCTCCTCCCTGCCTTCCAACACGTGAATTTGAATGGATGCCACAAGGCAACTTCCACACACTCTCTTGGCAAAAGGGATAACTGAAACCTCCGCGATGACTCTCACTATCTAGTGTAGCCATCGAACTACAGATTTCACTACCAGGTATACCATTTATTTCCCTCTCAACATTCAAACGATTGTAATTGAAAAAAGGAACATGCAACATAGATTTTACAGAAGAGGCATTTTAAATATGTGACTTCGTTTACTTAAGTCTTATATTTGTAATAACAGTATTTCACGCTCGTATCGTATACCAGCAGGCAATGTCATTTATAGAGTAGTAATGACAATTAACGCAGCCTTCGCAACGCGTGGCTACATTAACGCAGGCGCACACGCGAACTCATCACGGTGCGCAACGGAGCGCGCGCAGACAGCAGAGAGCGCAGAGCGCGGTGCGTTGTCCGCGGGCGGGTGGGCACAGGTGGCTTAATTGCCACCTTCAATAACCCGTCGACTCCAGAACCTGGCGGCCCCATTAGCTGGGCTATGAAGCCGGCCCATTTGATTCCACCGGATTAAGTTTTAATCAGGTGCTAGTCGGGCTAGCACCGGGCATGGCCTCTCATATCACTCCCCTACCGTACTCAATATACTGCCCACCTCTGTCCTGGGCTCCGTTGGGACCTATGGTCACAATGAAGACGCAGCGTACCTGAAGAATAACCAAGCCACGAAAATGAGTTCAATATTTTTATGTACATATACGGATAAAGTACAGACTAAAAACTACTAGACAATTTAAAGTTTCAGACTGAGAACTTGAAAATGACTAAAATAGCATTTACCAAAAAAAATACTGCCAGTCATAAGTCAAGGTAAGTGAAACTAGTGAATAAAAAAAGCTCATTGTTTGACAACTATTGACTGAAATAATATGTTCTGTTACGACGTTCAAAGGATCTTACCAACATCTCACAGTATACAATTTTCGATATATGATACAAGCAAAGAAAGCAATGTATAAAATTCTGTATCACATGTGACATCTCAAACTCTCGATTATTCTTTTTATGGAAAGGGGGATGGTTGGTAGAAAATAGCTTTGAACGAATACCTGTTTTTTTTGTTTATTTTTAAATATTATTTTATCCTATTCATTTCATTTTATTAGCGATGCCTTTTCTCTTCATTTTATTTAGTCTGATTCTAAGAGGATTTTTTAAAAACTCAAGTAACAAAATATTGACTTTTATATGGGCCTAAAAATGCAAACTCTTTTTATTTGATAACGAACAAAATTCCACATTTATACAATTTTTTCAAAACAATTAGATATTCGAATAAATGTAATAATGTTAAAATATTAATATGCGCAGTGTATGTAAATGTTTTGCTCTTTTTCAAAACAACCTATGTTCATGACTAAATGAGGTTTATAACAAACTCCATATTCTATTTTCGATCTAATTAAAGATTTATACAACAATAATAATGTTTTACTAACGCATTTACGTTATTCTCAAATATTGGATAAAGAATTTTCCTTAGTGATGTACGTTTAACTTTTACATTAATACAGTATATCTGCCGACTATTTATTCAACATAATACACAGTTTCATCTCAAATTGCTCTTTCCCAGTCAAATTAACCATATATATTTCACCTTCCTCAACAATCTTCTCCGAGGTCCCGCAAGGGTCCCCACTCTCTCCCACATTGTTTAACACATTTACCTCAGATGTACCCGTTCGAATCAACACACAACGGCGTTTTATGCTGAGGACTGAGCCATCTACGCAGCGGACTCACAGCTTTCCTCCGCCATACATCACTTGCAAGACGCACTACGCATTTTTCAGTGTTGGGCTTCTTCATGGAGACTTAATCTAAACCCATCCAAATGCAAAACTAAAATATTCACTCTTCGGCACATCAACAATCCTATTCTCATATGTATTAATAATTAAAACGTTCCTTGGAATCCTCCAAATAAACAGATAAAATATCTAGGAGTGCTCCTTGACACCAAATAAACTTCGAAACCAAATACTTCAAATAAAGGTATTAAGGTATAGGCCGATTTTTCCAAATTGTAACTTTAATAAACAAAAAGTCTGCTCTTAAAACAGATCTCTCCTTTTTACTTTTCGAAACGGCCATTCGTCCCATACTTACTTATGCTTGTCTGGTCTGGGTGTAGCTGCCCCTTCGGTACGTAAAACGCTTCCAACATTCCAAAAAATAATTTCCTTCGTACTGCCGAACGTATCAAACAAGCCACTCCACAGAGAGTTTGTCCTTCACACGATTGATTATAACATATACCAATCACATATTTTTTCTTTCCTTATCATTCTCTCCTGCAACTTCCATATTCAACCTATGAAAAATCTATAACCAACGCCGAAGAATCAAATGTAGATTCCCAAAAGATAAATTTAAACTGCCTTTAAGAGAAACGCATGATTTCCCAAACTTACTTTCTGTAACCTTTACCCCCTTTTTTCCATTTTCAGCGAATACAACAACTATTGATTATTGGTGTCTCTAGTGGGAGTATTCTCGCTCTCCTTTTTGTGACTCAGACCTACGCGTGCTGTTTCAGTTCTATTCAATCTTATAGAGCGCTTACTTTACAGTATGAGAAAATGTAAAATGTTTTGTTTTTTTAATCTGCCAATTCAATCGACGATCTAACATTTCTAAAAACTTTTCAAAATTTGAGACCTTTATATAAAAATTGTTTATTTTTAAATTAACATTATTACACAAATGTCATAAAAGCACACTCTTCAGGAGCAACACTAAGTTCTCTGGCGTCCAAGGAAGTTATAATCCTATTGGTTGCTAATTATAGATTTCTAACTTGGTTATGAACATTCATTACCATCAATAAACTAGGGGAACGTGGGACATAGTGGAATAGGTAATCTTGTAGCAACAATACAGTGAACATTTTGTTTTAAAAATATGTTTACATACTTCAAAAACTATTAGGTGTCGTCTATTATAACATATAGAAAGTCTGTGGTAAAATTGGTTCTTATTTTTTTAAATTTTCTTGGAGTCCGTCACTTAGGGCAAAGTGAAACAAATCTAATTAGACAATAATGTTTACAGAGTAAACAAATATTGGTACACAATGAAAATCAGAATTTAAAAAATCATATACTGATGTAATGAAAATTTATTTTATCACTACGTACGTAGCTTCCTTTTTCCTGTTACATGTTTTTTGAAGTGGAATCCCTTGGCAAAGCTTATAAGATCTCTCAAATAAGGTGATGTTATGATGGCAGTTTTTCAAGTTCTTCGGGTGGACTTACACGAATTTGATCCTGATTTCGGCGCAGAAAGAGGTTTTTAGGAGACTACCAGCGTCTGAGATTCTCACTCCACCAATGGGTGGTGCTAATGGTTTAGCTTCAATGTAGCTCTTAAAGATTCTGGAGACAGTTCCAAATTTGTTGCTTCTGCTGGAGCGAAATCATCATCAGAAAACATTTGTGGATGTATCACTGTTTCTAAATCCAGAGTAAGCATTCTGTGTTGGGGCTACTTTTGCAAAGGCTTCTCTAAAGAGAGAATTTTCTTTGTGGAGAGCCACCACTCTGCCTGGGTGATTTCAAAGCCAGTACTTAACAGTTTGTGAGTAAAAGGTGCTAAGGGGTAACATAAAACTCACATACTCCTAAAACAATTCTAGTAGTAATAATATACAGTCAAACATTTCGGAGCAAAGTAGAATAACAACAATCAACTTTGCCCCGCTTGACGTAAGCACAAAATGGTTCAAAATCATCACATCAGCATAGATTTTTTGTTTGCGATATCCAGGAATTGAAACACAAACTTGTAAAACTAAGGCATTAAAACAAAAACTTTCATCCTTCTGCATTGTTGCGCCAAAGACAATGTTTTACATTACATTCTTGTAAGGAACAGAGGAAAATCAGAATTACAGAAATAATTCCCACTCTTATATGCTAGCACCATAACACTTTCACACCATCATACCAATACTCTTCTGGACCAAATTCATGTTCTCGAAATGAAAGTTTCTAAATCTGTGGTGTTTAAATGTAAATTTCACTTTGCCCCGTAGTTTCATTTGGCTCCATCTTCCGCAACACACTTTCATCATCCGCCAACTAAATAATTTTAATTAATTTAACAACCATTTTCTCTATATTTTTTTATAGATGATGTATAATAGAGGACTTAAATCACTCCGTTGTGGTAAACCTTTCTGCACCGTATCAATCAAATCTGTGTATGTACAGAATGTAATATTACGTTCGTTAAGATGAAAAGACGAGAGTTCGGGCAGGTGCTGCGATCTAGCGTACTTTTTTCTAAACACTTGATATCTTCGCGGCACACGATCTCGAACAGAGCCCATCCAAACATCTTTTAAGCTGATGTTTTTTAACATCGATGTTTTGAGTTAAATATTTTTACGTAGTTGGTATTTTATTTTTGAAAAAATCAGAAAAGTTCCATCATAATACAAATTTTTAATAATTTTGAATATTTAAAACATTCTTCAGATCAATGTGAACAAAGGTAAAAAAAATAATTAAAATAGAGATTTCGTTGACATATGCAGTCTACATTATTTTTGAATGATCGAATCAGGTATTAAAACATTTGTTAACGGCCCTGATAATTTTTGAATTTTATTTTGTCTCTAAATCTCAATTAAAAATTAATAAACGCTACCACCATCAAACAACCTTCCCCCGTGAATATTAAACGCAACTAAAAGTTATGGTTTAGGTTTTAAAAAGATCTAAGGTTTTAAGGTTAATGATTTACTAACATCGATATTTTAATTTTGAACATCAATGTTCAGAAACATCGAACATCTCGGGCGTCGCTTGCACGGCGTGTCACGGCACTCAGACGCTGTAGGGAAAGTGTTAATTTTAGAAATACAAACAGTCAAAGCGGAGCGCCACTTCATGACCAGAAGATTAACCAAGGTTTCATTAATGTATCTGCTTCGATCAGTTGTTTCACCTGGCGTTTGGTTAAGAGCAAAAATCAGTTGTTTATGGATAATTTGTGTGAGTGAGATACACAACACTTGCACACGTTACATGTTCTTGTTCATTGTAATCCGTTTAAAATCATCTCAAATAAAAATAATTGAAATCGCGTCACACACGATTTATATTGTTTTGCGTTAAATAAATAATGAAACATGTGTTTTGATGTGTATTTATGTGTAAAATTTATTTTCAAACACGAGAGATAATATTCTGAAATAGGAAGAGAAAATTATAAATTATGCTGTGATTGTGAATTATTCTGATTAAATTATTTCCTGTCGCAATTGATGAAACGATGTTACGTTTTAAAGAAAGATTTTTTTAAACCATTAAATAAATAAATTAAGATGTATAAATTAAATTGAGGGTTAGGGCAGAAGTCATGGCAACAATTTTGTTTTCTAAAAGGAATGTTATCGGATCG